GGTTTGCGTTGAGGAGCGAACCGAGCCGCCGGTGTGTCCCGCAGCGGCCTCGCTGGGCCAGAAATCGGCCCGCGAGTGCTCCGCAGCAGCCTCGCTGAGCCAGACGGTCGGCTCGCGAGGTGGATGCTAGCATGAGCCCGATGCGTCGCAGTACTCTTGCGTTTCGGCGGTAGTGATCTGATCACCCGAATACCACGTTCGGATCGCTCCTCATCGCAAACCCCGTCAGCAGTCCTCCTCCGGGAATGTACGTAAGAGCTACATACACTAAAAAAAAAGTGCCAAAAACTACCAAAAACGATGTCACGGCCAGCTCGGCACTATCTACTCAAAAAAGATGACGTAGAGCACCCACTTTTTAAGCGTTCCGTGCACACACAAGGTCCGCCTGCGTGAACCGCCAGCTTCTCAGGGCCATCGCGCGAAAAACGACGGAGGAGATGCATCCTAGCTGTCGCCGCCGAAGGCGACTCGACGCCGCTGAGATCGGAGATCAAGCTCTGACAGGTCACACGTCGCTCCTTTGACGCCGACGTGACTCACCCGTGCAGAGCGCATCAGGACACGGTCTCGACGCGCAATGTACGACGCCTTCGACCCGTCTCGGGTCAGGTGGCACGACGCTCATCGCGCCTACCAGCGCTGCCGTGCAGGCTGCCACGACAAGGTCGATCACGCTTCTATACGCCCGCCCAGGCCTTCCTTTCCATCCCATTAGGCAGCCTGGGAACGGTGGCGGTCAGAGGCAAAGCCTGCGAGGGGTGGTGGAACCACATGTCACGGCCACCGCCGGCTCGACGCGACGATAGCCTCCGGAGGCTGACTTTGCGGCACCATCATCGGACGATGTCGACGAGTTGGGTCGCTTTCGCGGTAGCCAGGTAGCCCCCCATACTAGTAGCACCAGCCATGGCCTCAGGGAGCGCGGGCAAGGGCGCTGGGAGCAACACGGACAAAAAAACATCAAAAGTGGTCATGGTCACACACCACCCGTATTTGCTTGCAACACTAGTCTTTTGCAGAATTTCATCATGATGTCAGGCCAAGCAAAAAAAGAATACACCTGCGGAAAGCACGAGGGTTATTTTTTGCACAAACTTGTCGCAAGGTATTGCGCGCTGTTGAACTCACATAATCATTTGTACAATCAATTGACCGCGCGGACTCCAAGCACATACACAACTGATCGCGTCACGTGTGTGTGACCGTCATCACCCTGCGGGCTCGCGCAGCCGCAGGGTTTGCCCGCACCCTCCCTGGAGAGGCGTGCTCACGCCCCCCTCGAGGCCACCCGCCCGGGCGCGCGGAGTCGACGAGCCGCGGAGAGAGGCGGGGGCACAGACAGAGGGAGAAGCTCACGCGGCTGCCGACCGCTTCCCGCGCGTCGCCATCCAGCTGCGGAAGCCGTCTGCGAGCGAGAGCGAGAGGGCCATGCGACGCGGCGTGCGGTACGCGGCCACGTTGCCCTCGAAGAAGGTCGGGCCCTCGTCGGTGATCATCGCGTCCCAGCCGACGCAAGTGAGCCACTCTAGCTCGGACGCGTCGTGCGCCGCCATCGCCTTGAGGCAAGCCTCGCGCGCGCCGGGGACACGCTGCCCCACGAGCGGCGCTTGCATGGAGGCAAAGTACGGCGCGTACCACGCCGTGGGCGCGACGATGGTTTCCGTCTCCACGTCGACGAGGTAGCCCCCCTGGAGGAGCGGAAGCAGCGAGCTCAGCTCTCGGTGGGCGGGGCAGGCAAAGGGCGAGGAGAGTCTAGCCGAGTCCGAGCCCCCCCCCCCCCCCCTGTCCACTCTCCCT